CGCGGTCAGACTTTATGCTTCATATTGGCTGAATTCACTTTTACTAAAGGGGCAGATTTGTGTGGGGTGACCCTGCACTATGTACTTTATAAATATAACTACATATGTTTATTTATGATGTTAAAATACAAATGTAAAATTCTATAGAAATGGGAGAAAAATGGACTTGGCGGGCCTCTGGTACACGTACTCGTCATTATTTTAAAGTAAGTATGCAGTTTAATCTACTTTCTATATTTTCCCTTCTTTACTCATAATATTAGAAAAACTTGAGATAAAAAGAAATATATTGAGGAAAATAAAAATGAAAAAAAAAATCTTTTAAGATTCCTTTCTACGGCAATTTTATTTTCAGATGTCTGCAGTGTTGTATGGCTTGCTTTGAAAGATTCATGAAATATATAAACGTAAATGCTTATATAGAAACTGGTAAAATATTACATACAATTTATAAAATAAGAGTTTTTGCATAAATGTCATAAATGAATCATCCAACCTTTTCTATACGTTGGGATACATGCTAGGAGTGTTTACCGAGTTTAATATAAAAAATGAAACTGCACAAATTTGCTCTAATGAAACGTGTACAATCTGTTATTAAAAATTGGTCTAAATAAATTGTAGGTTTGCAGTTAGGCTATGTTAAGGCATGACGTAGGTACGAATTTAAGAAAAATATGGTAAACAGCCTGATCTGTGCCCGAATTCAACCCTATAAAGTCGGGGTGGGGAGGGGGGGGGCTTAGAGAATAGGAATAGGATTGAAAGCCCAATTTTAAAGACCAGCTCAAAAAAAAATTAGACCGATAATTTTAATAGTTTGGGTGATAGGGAGGGCTGAAAAAATGCCTAAAAAGGGTCGAAAAATGAAAAAAAAAATTTTGGATTTCAAGGGCTTTTCAAAAATATAGTTTTTAGATCTGTAGCTTTAATCACAAACAAGTTTTGAGCTATTTTTTATTTTTTTAACAGACCGGACTTTTTTCCTCCTTGTACCCTACTATAAATTAAAAAAAAAAAATTTAAAAAAAATTCTTTAAATTATTATTCATTAAAAGTCACAAAAGTTCACGGTGATAGTGCTAAAAATGAGAGTTTTTGGGGGATTTGAGACGCGGCTTAAATTCATTAAATTCGAACTCAGACTAAATTGATATATATGGAATACAAGTTTTGGATAAATGTCATGAATTGAGTTTAGTCCAACATGAAATACAATAAAAAAATGTAAAAGAAGAATACTAGTATTATTATGATCAGCTTTTCTAACAATGAAAGAAATATGTTTATAGTTGCAGGAAATCATGAATACAAGAAAACAGACGGTGTATATATTCTATTTATATAAATTCTGAACTCACATCTTTTGTTTGAATTCCATATACAGGGCTACCCATTCAGGGTTCCTTGTAGCTTTATATCGTCATGGCTTTAAAGTTTTTGGTCGTCTCATCCTTTGTGGGTAACCCTGTACTTAGGTCTAGTAAGCCTTTAGAGTAGTCATTTATACTCTGCACGTTCCCACAGGGTGTCCCAACTCCCAATAAACATGGGAATTCAGTTTAAACATCTGAATCGAAAAGGCCTGGTCTTGAGATTTTCAAATGTGGTCTACCATTTTATGTCTTCAA